AATCCTCACCCCTGCCTCTCTCTCCCCCCCCCCCCGCTTTCCCTCCCTTGTAGGCCTTTGGAGACCTGGATCAGCATGTTCGCATGACCTCCGAGGGCACCGACTGCCGCTGCAAATGCATCCTGCGCCCGCTTGGCAAAGCGGCCTGTGCCCATCTCCGGGAAGGTAGGTTCTGCTGCCTGAGCAAGGGGTTGGACTAGAAGACCTCCAAGGTCCCTTCCAACTATTCTATTCTATTCTATTCTATTCTATTCTATTCTATTCTACTCTACTCTACTCTATTCTAATTTCTATTCTATTTTCTATTCTATTCTATTTTCTATTCTATTCTATTCTATTCTGCATTCTATTCTATTCTGCATTCTATTCTGCATTCTATTCTATTCTATTTTGTCTTTCTATTCTGCATTCTATTCTATTCTATTCTATTCTATTCTATTCTATTCTATTCTATTCTATCCTATTCCATTCTATTCCATTCCATTCCATTCCATTCTATTCTATTCTATTCTATTTTAAGGCAGCCGCAGGGGGGAGGACTTCTACACCGTGGAGACGGTCAGCTCGGGGGGCGACTGCCGCTGCTCCTGCACGGCCCCCCCAGCCTCGCTCAACCCCTGCGAGGATGAGTGGAAGATGGAGAAGCTGAAGGACCAGGCCCCCGAACTACACAAGGTATGGAGGGGGCAGAGGCAGAGGGTAGCCCTCCCCCAGTTTTCAGAACCCTGCATATGCACCCCAGGGGTGGTGCAAGACCCCAGCCAACCTTCATGGCTAAGGCAGGACTAGAACTCACCCTCTCCTGGTGACTGGTCCAAAGTCACCCAGCTGGCTTTCATGCCCGAGACGGGAACTAGAACTCGCCGTCTCCTGGTGATTGGCCCAAAGTCACCTGGCCGACTTTCATGGTTAAGGCGGGACTAGAACTCACCGCCTGTGCCCTAACCACTGCTCCCCGCTTCCTCTGCAGCTGCAATCGGTCATCGACCTGCTGGAAGGAGCCCTCTACAGCATGGACTTGTTGAAGGTCCATTCCTACATCAACAAGGTGGTGGAGCAGATGAACACCTTGGAAGAGGTGACCGCCAACGTCTTGGGGGTTCCTCCTCTTTTAGCAGCAACTGGGTGGGTTTAGAGAAGGTGGAAGGGCTGGGGGAGTGAGGAGGGGGGTCTCCTCCATCCCTGGAGATCACGTCCCGCTGGAGAAAGCCGGGATCTCTTTTCCGCTGACCCCCCCGATTTAAGTGATCATTAAAGTAGATTCTGGCTAAAGGATGGGGGGAAATAAGAGCCTCAACATGATGAGGTGACCTGCGATGGGTCTGTTTGAGCAGACCATGCTGGTTTGGGGTTCCTGAGCAGGGCTGGACTAGATGGCCTCTAGGATGCCCTGGGCTTCAGAGGGTCCTCGAGAAAGGGGAAAAGAAATCAGGAAGGCTGGTTAACCGAGTCAATGCGGTATAATATTAACATACTAATATTCTTTATTATTAATAATGATTAATATTATCACCCCCCCCCACACTCCATCCCTTCTCCCCACCCCACCCCAGACGGTCAAAACCAACCTGAGCCGCGACAGCAACGTGGTCAAGGAGAGTGTCATGCACTTAAGCGACCAGATGAGGCGCTACGAGAACTACTCGGACATCATGGCGGGCATCAAGAAGGAGCTTTCGAACCTGGAGCATCAGCTGCTGCAGAAGGACGCGGCCGTCGCAAGTCCCGAACTCAAGGCCCAGGTTAGTCCTTGTTGTTCTGGCTGGAACTGACCGGTCAAATCCATCTCCTTGAAAATTTGGATTCGTTTATCTGTTTGTTTGTTTGTCCTTCCTTCCTTCCTTCCTTCCTTCCTTCCTTCCTTCCTTCCTTCCTTCCTTCCTCTTTCTTTCTTTCTTTCTTTCTTTCTTTCTTTCTTTCTTATAAAATGTGTGTGTATAAAAGAAAAACCGGAACCTTGATGGAAAAGTGGGAGAGATGGACACAGCCCTTGCCAAATATTTCCTTTGGTTGGCATTTTAAAAAAGGTGGATTTTTTAAACTATCTTTCTTTCTTTCTTTCTTTCTTCCTTCCTTCCTTCCTTCCTTCCTTCCTTTCTTCCTTCCTTCCTTCCTATTTCTTCCTTCCTTCCTTCCTTTCTATTTCTTTCTTTCCTTTTCTCTTTCTTTCTTTCTTTCTTTCTTTCTTTCTTTCTTATTCTTCTGAAGTTTCTCAGCTTGCCTTGAGTTTGCACTTTGTTCCTCTTCCCTCCCCTTCGCTTTGTCCTTTTGTGCTGCGTCTGTTTAGACCGAAATGGCTTTATCACAGCCTGGTGTGCAGGCACAGATCTGAAGAGTTAAACTGAAGGCCGGACAAGGAATAACGAATGGAAACAGATCAAGGAGGGATTCAGCCTGGAAATAAGCAGAAATTTTCTGAAATGTTGGAGGTCTCCTGCTTGAAGAAGGGGTTGGACTAGATGACCTACAAGGTCCTATTCTATTCTCTATATTCTATTCTATTCTCTATATTCTATTCTGGTCTGTTCTACAGTATTCTATTCTATTCTATTCTATTCTATTCTATTCTATTCTAATCCTTATTTTTATTCTATTCTATTCTATTCTATTCTACTCTACTCTATTCTATTCTCTATATTCTATTCTATTCTATTCTATTCTATTCTATTCTATTCTATTCTCTATATTCTATTCTCTATATTCTATTCTATTCCTTATTTTTATTCTATTCTATTCTATTCTCTATATTCTATTCTATTCTCTATATTTTATTATATTCTCTATAATTTATTCTCTATATTCTATTCTATTCTATTCCTTATTTCTATTCTATTCTATTCTGTTCTATTCTATTCTATTCTCTATATTCTATTCTATTCTATTCCTTATTTTAATTCTATTCTATTCTATTCTATTCTATTCTATTCTATTCTATTCTATATTTTCCCCTGAGCCTGTGCGTTGTTCCCAGTATGTGTTTCTCTCCCCAGGACCCTGTGGGACGCAAGGAGAGCGTTCAGAAATATCCCAGTCCTCGGAAAAGCCTGGGGGACAAAGAGACCCCCAGAAGTCCCAAGGAGAAGTCCCTCAAGGCAGAGAAACTGAGGAAGGAGAGTGCCAAAGGGAGGAAGGGTCTGCCACTGCCCAGTTCCAAAGCCCACTCCTCCGGGCAGGAAACAGTCATCCGGGGTGTTGTGTACTACAAAGCGGGACCTCGAACGGAAGCAGAGGGGGTGGCGAGCAGCCGTGGTGAGTAAGGGGGCGGGCGGGGGTCCCAGGGCGCTGCCACCCCGAATTTTGCAAAATCAAATGCAGTTTGGTTATTACAGTACAAAAGTAGTCCTTGACGTACGACAACTGAGCCCAGCTTTTTTGCTGCTAAGTGAGACACGCGTCACGTGAATGTTCCTCATTTTACTGCCGACCTCGCCACAGTCCATCGCTGTGGTTGTTAAGTCAGTAACCTGGTCGTTAAGCGAATTTGGCTTCCCCCCTCCTTGATTTGGCTTGTCAGAAGGTCGCAAAAGTCACATGTGATTCCACCCACCCCGGGACGCTGCGACCGTCGTAAATACGAGTCAGTTGCCAAGCGTCTGAATTTTGATCCCGTGACCGCGGGGTCGTCAGTGTGAAAAACGGTCGTCAGTCACCTCGATCCTTGCCGTCGTAACTCTGAACGGTCACTAAACGAACTGCTGCAAGTCGAGGGTGATTTGTACGAGTTGTCCTCCACTTATTGGGACTGGAGTTTCCGTTACTAAGCAAGTCGGTCCCTTAAGGGAATCACGCCAGATTTCCCGACCTTGTCCCCCAGGGCTGTTACGCACATCGCTGCCGTTAAATTAATCCTGCGGTCCTTAAACGAATTCAACTCCGCCCCCTCCTATTGGCTGCCACGGGCTGGGAAGGTGGCCCGCGGTGGGTCACGTGACCCTGGGATGCTGCAATCCCCGTGGCTGCCACGTGCCCAAATTCTGATCCCACAAGCATGGCGGGAGGGTTTTAAGTGGGAGGACCAGTCCTAGCTCCTTCCCTTTTTTTTCATTTGCCATTGTAGCTTTGACCAATGTTGTAAGTTGAGGACTGTCTTTGGTGCGGAAAATCCCCACTTTTGGGCATGCTAAGAATGCTCCTTTTCGGCAGAAAACCCTGGGAAGGAAGCTGGATCCAAAATGGCCGACCCAGAGACCCTCCCCAGGACAGGAGAAATCCCTTCGACGGCTTCCCCCGCCAACGCCACCTCCGTGCCCATCATCCCCAGCATCGGCGCCATGCTCCAAAGTCGGCCTGGCACCCCTCTGCTGTCCAGGAGGCGTGGCCACGTCCCCGAGGTCCCTCCCACGCCCAGCCACGGTAGGTGTGAACCCTTCCTCCATCAGGGTTGGGTTGGGTTAGGAAAGCCGACGCAATCCTAAGTTGCATTAAGAGAGGGATTCAATCAAGATCACGTAAGATGCTAATACCACTCTGTAAAGCCGTAGTAAGGCCACACCTAGAGTATTGCAACCAGTTTTGGTCTCCACACTATTAAAAAAAGACGTTGAGATTCTAGAAAAAGTGCAGAGAAGAGCAACAAAGATGATGAAGGGACCGGAGGCTAAAACAGATGAAGGACGGTTGCAGGAACTGGGCATGGCTGGTCTAGTGGAGAGAAGGATGAGGGGAGACGTGATAGTAAGGTTCCAATATTTGAGGGGCTGTCACAGAGAGGAGGGGGGTCAACCTATTCTCCAAAGCACCCGAAGGACAGACAAGGAACAACGGATGGAAACTGTTCAAGGAGAGATTCAAGCTAGAAATAAGGAGGAATTTTCTGACAGTGAGAACAATCAACCAGTGGAACAGGAGTTGCCTTCAGAAGTTGTGGGAGCTGGACAGCCATCTGTCAGAAATGGTATAGGGTCTTCTGCTTGGGTGGGGGGTTAGACTAGATGATCTACAAGGTCCCGACTCTGTTGTTCTATTCTATTCTGTTCTGTTCTATTCATTATTCCATTCCATAATCTATTCTATTCTATTCTATTCTATTCTATTCCATATTCTATTTTCTACTCTACTCTACTCTACTCTACTCTACTCCATTCTATTCCATATTCTATTTTCTACTCTACTCCATTCTATTCTATTCTATTCTATTCTATTCCTTAATTCTATTCTATTCTATTCTATTCTATTCTATTCTATTCCATCCCAATTCTATTCTATTCTATTCTATTCTATTCTATTCTATTCTATTCTATTCTATTCTATTCTATTCTATTCCATATTCTATTTTCTATTTTCTACTCTACTCTACTCTACTCTACTCTACTCTACTCTACTCTACTCTACTCTATTTTATTCCATATTCTATTCTCTACTTACTCTACTCTACTCTACTCTACTCTACTCTACTCTATTCTATTCTTACTTCTGATGGAAAGAAAATGGGTTGGGGGTCTCCTTCAGTGGAGCTGTGCAGGGCCCTGGAACAGAGCTGGCAAATGTGGCACGGTGGGGTGGGGCAGCCTGGTTGCCAATCCTTCCCATCCTCTCCGTTGGACCCACAGCACCCAGGGCCTCCTGCGAGGGGACCCTAAAGGCGGTGGAGCCCCCCCAGGAGCAGCATAGCTACGGTCGGAACGAGGGCGCCTGGATGAAGGACCCGGCGGCCTCCGATGACCGCATCTACGTGGCTAACTATTATTACGGGAACAGCCTGCTCGAATTCCGCAATTTGGAGAATTTCAAGCAAGGTGAGGAAGGGCGGAGGGAGGGGGAGGACGGGGGGTGGGGGCACCTGGGAAGACAAGAGGGGTGGGCTGTCCATGGACTAAGCCACGATTTGC